GTTGGAAGGTCTTGAACTACAAAAAACAGTGAGAAGGAGAGAGTATGCCAGGTCAGCCAAAGCAGATGAGAACGACAGGGAAGAACTGGGAAAGCACAGATGATGCCTGAGAGATGGGAATCAGATCAGTTTTGCAGGACTGCAGGGCTTGGGGGGCTACAAGGAAGTCAGGCTGGGAGGTGACAAATGATAGGCTAAGGACCTGGTTTTCAAACTATGCTCCTTGGAACACTGGTGCTCCAGATAAGTTTAAAATGTGAATGTTTCATGGTTTCCTATAACTTCAAGGCACTTCATCATATACAAATTTGATAGCTGTTGTAGTTACAGATAATAGATAACGTAAGAATCATTAAAACTCTCATTTATTAATTACTATATGTCAGGTACTGTGCTAAGCATTCCTCCTAGCCTTCTCTTATTTGAGCTTACAACTCTGTGAGGTAGATACAGATATGATCTCTATTTGCAGATGAGGAAACAGGGTAGGAAAGGCTAACCTGCCAGCTCACTGACAAGAGTTGCTGGAAAGAAAAGGTGGCATGAGTGCATGCCCAGGGCGTCTGAAAACCAGACCCAAGTCCTGACCACTACACTGCTTCTTGGTCTCCTCCCTTTGTAATGCCTGGGCTGAAGGGTAAAAAGAAGATAAAAAAAGAACGAAGAAGAGAGGAGGAATATCCTAGGATGCAGGAACAGAGATTCTTCCAGACATCTAAGAGAAAGGATCGTGGACCATGGAGGGAATTAAACACAGGGAGTGTGAAGAAGACATGGCCCACGCAATGGAATTGGGCAAGAATGTCCTTGAAAGCCGAGCTGCAGCCCTTTCCTCTGCATGTGTATTTCTGCCATATGAATCATCTACACTCAGATGGGCTTTGCTGTTCAACCCAGAGTGACACTGGTGCCCTCAAGAAGACTGACATGAGAATATGTTGCTGGGGGCTGCCTGGCCAATGACCGGGAACAGGCCAAAATGACAGGGCAGCCACGTTCCTCAGCAGCAGATTACAGGAAACCTGCCCACAGCTCAAACTGTGCCAGCAGCTGCTCCAGGCCATCACAGTTTCCCAAGTAGTTATTGTGGCTATGATTGGAAAGGGGTCACAGTCACATGTTGAAGAGAAATATAATTTTTTTGGCTAGAGTTTATGTTCTGGAATGCTGCAATCTGGGCCAAGCTTGGGCTGCGAGCAAGAGAGGCTGCATGGCAAAGAAATACTGTGTCACAGCTGCATAGAACATCAGAGTTTGCAAAGCCCTTCTTGGTCTTCACTTTGTTGGAGTTGCATAAAAATCCTGTGAGGCAAGTGAAGAAACTGAGACACAGAGAAGTTAAGTGACTTAAGCAAGATCACACAGCAAGTCTGCCAGACACAGTGGCTCATGCCTGTAATCCCAGCACTTTGGGAGGTGGAAGCAAGAGGATTGCCTGAACCCAGGGGTTGAGACCAGCCTGGGCAACTTAGCAAGACCTTGTCTCTACAATAAATAAAAAAAATTAGCTGAGTATGGTGGCATGCACCTGTAGTTTCAGCTGCTTAGAAGGCTGAGGTGGAAGGTTGTCTGAGCCCAGGAGGTTGAGGCTGCAGTGGCCGTAAGTGTGCAACTGTATTCCAACCTGGGCAACAGAGTGAGACTCTGACTCAGAAATAAAAAAGGCAGAATGATACCATGTCCCTAAATCTTTGGGTTCCAAGTCAATTCAGGAATTGAGACCCAAACTAACAAGTGTTATATCAAATGATAAGAATAAAGAGAGGTCTCCAAGGAGGAAAGGATACTGTTTTCTCTCTGTATCCTGTAGTTTGTAATGTATAGTAGCGAATTCTAAGCAGCTGACACTTTATACCCAGTCAAAGCATTTTCCCTGACATTACTTCACAATACTCCTAAAGAGGCAGGTAGGGATGTGAGTGTAGGTGGTTTGCAGAGGAGGAAATAGGCTTGGGGAAGTGAAGAAACTGGTAAGAGGAAGAACTCTTCTTTGAGCTTTGCTTCTCTCCTGCGCTCTCCCTCTCCCTAGGCCTGGAAGCACTTAGTGTGGTCAGCCGTGGGGAACGGTCACAAGGCTGTGGTTCCATGGCTAGGCATAATCTGTCCAAAAGAGCAGCTCCCTGCCTGTCTGCCCTCCAGCTCCCCACAGCGTGGGCCCCTTGTTCCACCCGATGGCCTCCCCATGCCGCCTGGCCATAGCAAGACAAGCAACAAAACAACCAGCCTGACCCTCCCCACTGCCTCTTGGACTATGCCAGAGATCTGCGGCTTGGCCATGCCTGCCGGGCTCCTGGAATAGCTGTCACCGTTGCACAGATGTGACCACACAGTCCCCCAGAATGACCCCTGGATGTGTCCACGTTGCAACTTGTCTCCTTCGCCTTAACTTTTTGATGGCTTAGGCCAAGACTTATTTTATCTGGTCCTACTTCTGAGTTCTGCCCTCTTGTCCTTTCTGATATTTTACACCACCTCCCCAATGGCCGAGTTGGACATCCTGCCTGGACATCAAAGACCTAGGGTCCAAGTGCCTAAGGACAGATCTCCAGATGACAATCCCCCTCCTCCTGGTACTGATTACTGCCTGAATTTCCCTCCAAAGGGTCCAGTCTGCCAGTCTGCCTGGAAATCCTGCTGACTAGTGCTCAGCCCCGGGATAGCCTCTCTGGGTTTGGGGCTGAACTGCCAGACCGGTCATCTCATCTGCTGCTGAATGAAGGCCTCATCCAGTAGAGACACTGCCCGTTCCCTCCCTTCTCACTCTTTGTCTGATGAGGGCTGTTACCCTCCTGCCACAGACAAGAAAAAACCCAAATATCCCTTGACAGAAGAACTGAAAAATAAATTGTGAAGATTTACATATACAACAGTGCAAATGGGACAGTCCCAATGACCTCCTTCGGCACGGGTGGATCTTTGAAACACTGCGTGCAGTGGAAAAGAATATTGCAGAGGACTCCACACTTTATAACAGCATTTTTATAAAACTCAACAACAAACAAAACAGAACAATGCATTGTTAGGGATACATTCACACATAATACAAGTATTTTTTTAAGCAAAGAAATGTTAAACACAAAATTCAGAGCAATGGCTACCTCAGGGTGGGGGAGGGAAACGGGCTAGGGAGAGGCACCCTGATTGGAGGTCTTGGCTTGGGAGGTGGGCTTGGGATGATCATTCTGTTGTTCTGCTTCCTGGCTCACAAATGCAGCCCACACATTCTACAAAATAACTTCAAAGATTACAGGGAGAGGGTCCCAGACATGCCCCTCCTTCTCTTCTCTTCTTCATGCTGACTTCTCTGGTGGTGGGAAAGTATGTCCCCACTGAGTGTCTGGGCTCCATGTCCCATCCCCCACCGTCACAGCTGAACGACCTGAAAGCAGGCTTTACCCTCTTTCCCCACCTCCTTCCCTCCCACACGCTGGCTTAGTTCACTCCATTCTGGGCCCTGGTCCCATCCCTCTGCCAAAGACGTCGCTGAAGTCCCGTAAACTCCTTGTTAGTAAATACGATGCCGGCATCGGTGCTGATCTTGCCTGGCATCTCAGCAGCACTTGACGAGGCTGACTCCTGCCTGCTTCTTCTCCGAGCACCTCTTCCCTAGCATTCCAGGTCTCCCTCTCCTGATATCCCTTTCTATGTCTTAGGACACTGTTTCTTGGCCTCCTTTACTGCTACCTCTGCCTGTCCCTCGTTAAATGGTGGCACCCATGGGGGTCTTCTCAAGCTTTCCTTCACCCTACAGCCTCTCGTGTCTTGGGTCACCATCTGAATGCCGATGAGTCCTCGCCTCTGTCTTCCGAACTCTGGGTCCAAATATCCCATCGTCCACTCAACCTCTCCACTTGGATATCACTCAGCCACTTCACAGGCCTACCCCCACAGCCTGGTCCTCTTCCAGTGGCTTCTATCCATCTATGCAAAAGCCCAAGCCACGTGCAATCAGTATTGGTTCCTCCTCACCCTCACCACCACCATCTCTCCTGTCTCCCCAGTCCGACCTAGTCACCAAGCCTAGTCCTTCTACCTCCTCACATGGCACTCAGGCCAGTCTAGTCCCTTCATCTCCACCAAGACCATCCTCATCCAAGCCAGCATCCTCTCTGGCTTGCATGAGAGCAGCTGTCTCAGTAGGACCCTCCCTGCCTTGCCTCAGCAGATACTTTGTTCTCTGAGTGTATCTGTCTCCTGCTTAAAATCCTCTAGTGCCCCCCTGCCCTCGGGCTCCCCACGACATGGCCTCTACCTCCTTCTCCCTTCTCGTCTCCCCTCATCTCCCCCACATCTCGGCCTCAAACCCCACCCTTAACCGTACAGAGCTTCTTTCAAGCCTCAGACACACCACACTTTCCTCTTACCTTTCAGGCTGAAACTTGTCTCCAGCTAGAACACCATGCCTGCCTGCCCCTACCCAGTCTTGCCGCCTTCATCTGACCTGCTTCAGCTTCTGGTTTCACTGCCACTTCTTCTGGGAAGCCATCCATGACCACTCCACTCCCACCCAGAGCATGTTAGATGACTCTACAATCTCACAGCACCTAATGTGTTTCTTATTCTATTCTAGCACTTGTAACATATTGTAATTACTTTATAAATTACTTGTCTCTTACAACCTGACTTACCGTCACACTAGAACCTAGAACAATGCCTGACCTCTACTAAGCACGTGGGGAAAGTTGTTGAATGAGTGAGTGAATGAGTGGCATTCTGCTTACATGTTATCTCACTTAATTCTTACAAGGATCCTTTGAGGTAGGTGCCATTAGCCTCATTTTACAGGTGATGGAAGAGACATAACATGCCCCAGATCACACAGCTACCAACTAGAAAGCTGGAAGCTGGAACTAGGTTCCACACCAAAGCCCACACCAGCAACCACCTCGTAACCTTTCCTCTGGCCACCCCACCCCCATTGCTCATCCCACATGAGGCCAGGGAGCCCTCTCTGGGCCAGTCAAGGCTGGGAACTCAGACTGGGAGCTGGCGACGGTTACCTGGAAGCATGTGGGGCCTGGCCTCCCTGTGGGGATGTCCGACTGGTAGAAGACTTTGAGCTCTGGAGTCAGGGCGATGACTGTCTTAATCACCAAGGAGATGATGTCAGACCAGACCTTCTTGATGTCAATGCCTTTGGAAGACAACCTACCAAGGATGCTAGAGAAGGTCCTTTTGCTGCCCGTGCTAGCACTGTCCGAATGAACGAAGTTGCCGCTGTGGATGTTCAGTGAGTAGTTGGTTAAGTGCATAAAGATGTGGTGCAGATTTTTGGGGCTGGGCTCTTGATATGGCTCTGTACAAAATCTAGAGAGTCCATCTTTGGCTATATAAATCTCTAAGGGGTCTAGGGACTTTAGTAAGACATACAGACGAATATCAAACTTGAGTTTGTCGATAAGGAGAGGTTTGCAGATGTACTCCTGGACCACCGCTGGCCTGTTCTGGAGGGTCCCTGACAGGCGGATGTCACTGGGGTCTTTAATGAGGTAGATTCCGTCTCCCTGACAACCGCCATCAGGTTTCACAATAAAAGTGGGCTTCCAGGAGGGGTCACCATCCTTCACCATTCGAACCTGAGAGAGGGGGAAAAAGAATAGTCAACATTCCATACTTTCTCTCTGGACCCCTAACATAGAATAAGACCTCAGCAAAGATCTGGTCAATGAGTGACAAAAGGATCCCTGCCTATCTGAGTCTGCACTGAGCATCTTCCATGAAGATGACACTGAACAAGGCACTAAGCTGGTGACATGAGGAATGTCCTCAGACCTGTGCTTCAGAGCGAGATGGAGATTGCAGCAGATCGGCAGCCACAAGACATGGGTTCAAATCCAGTTTTGCCAGTGATTAGCTCTAACCTTGAAGAAGTCATGTAACTAAGAATAATGCTGAGAATAGTCATGGTGGTGATCTAATATCATTTGTGAGTGCCTGGTGATGTGCCAAGCACTATATTAGGCACTTACATCATTATCTCATCTAACCCTCACAGAAAATATGGTTGTGCCCTTTTATATCAGGAACAGAGAGGGTGGGGCAGTTGCTGAGAGTGTGGCGCTGAAGTCAGATGGCCCAGGCCCAAACCCTGCCCTGCTCCTTACTGTGTCTTTGGGCACGTGACTGAACTTATCTGCGCTCTCCTCATCTATGAAATAGGAGTAAGATTGTTTTGAGGATTAAATGCGATACCAAAAGCAAAGGGCTGAGCACACAGAGCCCATCACATCAAAGACAGTCACTAAGACTCACTGTCGCCATTTTTAGAAAGTGACGTGACTTGCCAGCTAACGCAGGGGCTGAAATGGGATTGGAATCCAGATCGATGACTCTAGAGCAAGGTACTGCGCTGTTCTATACCATCTTCCTCTAGACCACCATGCCTTGGTTTCCTCACTTTACAAACAGGGGTACAACGACCTACCCTCACTGGGTCTTTGTAAAGATGAAGCCAACTAAAATGTGCCAAGGGCCAAGCACAATAGCAAACACAGAGCTGGTACACAGGAAGCATTTATTTTATCATTTACATTCGACCTTAGTTTCATCTAGCGAACATGGCCAGCCCTTCGGTCTGTTGAGAGCTTTTTGAAACTCGATTCTGCCATCTACAGCATTCGCTCTCTGCCCCACTCCAGGGCAACAGGACACTCACGTAATTAATTATCTGGGCTCTGGACCAAAAAAGTTAGTTAAAAAGTTAGTCCCGAAAGTTAGTCTGAACCTATGGGTCTGCATCATTCAGCCATGCCCATTGCCCTGACACTGGGGCGCTGTGTTATGCAGCTGTGGAGAGCGTGTGGACTTACGCAGCAAGAGAGATGAGCTGCAGGAAACGGAAAGATGGACTGGGAAGGGGAGTGGGGCTACCTGCAGCTTCTGGTGTGGATGTTCCCTTCTGAATTCTGAGAGCAGGGCCTGCAGCAGCCGGCTTGGTGGTGTCCCCAGCGCCCAGCCCCACCACGGCCCTCTGCCTTTGCTGAGTGAGCCACACCCAGGAAAGCTGTACTCTGGTTGTACCTATCTTTTTGACCAGCCTATATTTCTAAATGAAGCTTATGCCAATTCCTTGAGGACTCTCAGTTATTCCCGGCTTGTAAAAGATCTTTAACAATGGAGAAACACTTAAAGCCTTAATAATGGGCCATATCAATTGTTTCTCCCCGTCAGCAGGATCCGAGAACGGAACTTCACAAGAGATCAATGCAAGCCTCCCAGGGCCTTCCATGGAGCCTTTCTTGCAATAGTGACCTTGGCGTTTATGTAGTTATTTAATATTCCTCCAAAGCATGTGTCCACTCAACCCCTTATAGTAAATATAAGCATGCCGGACAAATGGCACTTACGGATCAAGAAGTGAAAAATGTCAAGTTTGTGCTGTGGGTAACTTTTCCCTCTGGAATGCTTTTGCTATGCCAAAGGTACTAACATTTCAATATATTATCAGGAGCAATATTTTCTCCTTTGAATTCGGTATATATGCCTTAAATAAATTAAACTACATGGTCAATAGTCTCTGTCATTCATTGCACTGCTGAATATTTCTTCTGCTCTTTGCCAGAAGAGTGCCATACAAATCAAGATTATTAACACTAATAGAATCATTGAATTTTTAGAACTCAAAGGATCCTCAGAGATCAACAGCACCCAGCCCTCTCACGGTCCAAAGGAGAAGCAGGCTCAGGGAGGTGACACGACTTGCCTTGGGCTCCATAACTGGCTAGGGGGATGGCTGAGATGAGAACTGAGGTCTCCTGACCGCACCCCAAGTTTGCCATACCATTTTTGCCTCTGATAAGATAAAATTAAGGGTCTCTTTTCCCTTTTTTTTTTTTTTTACTCTAGGGAAGATTCTGTTACTATATCAGACAGTATTGACATCTGAGCTCTGGCTTCACACTAAAGTGTCTGACCCCAAGCATGTCTGTCTTGAAACTATATCTATAGGTCCCCAGTTGGCTGGGACTGTCCCAGTTTCAGATCTTCTGTCTGGGTTCCAAGCTTGTCAAAATACAGGTAGAATATATTGGATAAGCCTCACAGTTGTTCAGATGTGGTTTCCATGGCCACCAGACCCTCCAGCCACTTCTCTTTAAAAAGAGAAAGATTTTTTTCAGTATTCATATTCAGTCTCCTCTGAGGTTTTACTCAACAGTGACGTTCCCTCCGCCCTCTCCATTATTAAAGTTAAAAATGAATGCACTGGTTCTTAAAAAGAAGTCATGAACCAGAATGGAAATATAGTCTATATCCGTGGGCCCCAACCCCGGAAATTCTTATTTAATCGATCTGGGATAAGAAATAGGCGTGTGTATTTTGCAAAAATCACCATGAGTGATCTTATGTGCACTCTGGCTGAGAAACACTGGACTAAAGTTAATTAAATAAACATTCAACCTGAAACCAGCATATTGAATGAAGTGTTCTGCATTGGCGTTAGCTGGCATGCGAGGAAGACTTGCGCTTAGGCTACAACTGATGGTATCTCTAGTTTTATCCAAACCTGCTGTTGGACGTGAAATCTCTTATCTTGTAACTGTATACATGGATGGCTGAAAGAGATACACACAGGTCTGATTGCTTGACGCTCACCCAGCCTATTGAAAAATTTATGCATCTTTTACTGCCCCCTAGTGGGTGTTTAGGAAATGTGAATGGGAAAGTCACCTTGTTCAAAATTCGAACACTACTTTTCAGTAAGATACTCTATTAAGATGTTAAACTGGTCTTAAAGAAGCACCACTACAAATGGATAATTATTCAACCTTAAGAAAGAAGAAAATTCTGAGATATGCTGCAACATGGATGTATCTTGAGGACGTTATGCTAAGTGAAATAAGTCAGACACAAAAAGACAAATACTATATGACTGCACTTCTACGTGACACCTAGAGTTGTCAAATTCATAAAGACAGGAGGTGTCATGGTGTTTGTCAGGTGCTGGGTTTGGAGAGAATGAAGAGTTAGTGTTCACTAGGCACAGAGTTTTAGTTTTGCAAGATGAAAAAAGTTCTGAAGATGGATGGTGGTGATGGTTGCACAACAATGAGAATGTACTTAATACCACTGTATACTTAATGTATGCATAATGTACATGTAAAATTATTAATCTGGTAAATTTTGTTAAGTATATTTTACCACAATTTTTAATTTAAAAATTTTTAAATAAAAGACATAGCTTTTGGCAAGTTAGGAAAAGTAATGAAGTGAAAAATAGAAAACGTGAATTTTAGTCCCAAATTGGTTAGGTAAGTTCTGACTGTGTCACCTTGAGAAAGTCACCTAACTTCCTGGGCTCTGTTGTATACACCTATAAAATAAAGGGGTCACACTAAGGTCTCTGGCTTCAGCCAGCTAACAAGTGTTGAACAGGGATTTATCTTGACATTCCCACAGTTGAAGGCTGTGGTGCAAGCACACAGTGACATTAATCACACCAGAAAGTTCCTGCTCTGCTATTAGGATCAGCACATTGGGATGATCTATAAGAGCAGGAGATTTGGATCAGAGATTTATGAGGCATTGGAGGAAGTCAGCTGGGCATTTGAGGGAAGCAAGCTAAAATATTTGGAGGGAGAAATTCAGCACCTGTAATACCAGCCACAAAACATTATTAGCAGTGAGGGGCGGGGAAGAGGACAATTTCTGAAGAAATACTGTCTGCAATACCAGGGAAGTCAAAGCCAGTTAGAGCAGTCCTTTGTCACTCAGGTGGATTTGCATTCAATCTTAGCAACTCAGACCCTTGGGGTCACAGGCACATGCTGCAGATCTTAAGCAAAAACAAGCCTCTGGTAGACAAACTCAATGTCACAAAGTGCACGCTGGATGGGGTGCAGGGACCAGCCCTGCCAGCCTCAGGGGACTAGGCCTGGTACCGAGGGTAAAGTCCTACTCTCAATGTTCAAGGCAATTCTGAGTCCAGACTGAAGGCAGACTGCAGTGAGGTTACCCAGGGCCAAACAGGAAGCACAAAAAGGGCCAGTGATGGCAGAGTGGAGGGCTAAAGCAGTGAGGCCCAGAGGAAGGACTGGAGTGGATCACATGCCTCCATGAGCTTTTATGAAGGCAGAAAAGAGCAGGTACATCTGGGGGACTGCAAATAGCTCTGATGGCTGCAGAACAGAAAGGGGGGTGAAGTGAGGAAATCCCACTTACTGAAGTCAGCAAGAGTCAGATAACAACAGCAGCAATATTGTTAACATACATGTACTGAGTGCTTGCCACAGGTCAGGCGCTGTGCTAAGTGCTCTATATGTATCATCTCATTTAATCTTCACAACAGTCCTATCTTACAGATAAGGAGACAGAGGCCTAGAGATGTCAAGTAACTTGCCAAAGATTGCATAGCCAATAGATCATGGAGCCAGGGATTTGAAGCCCAGAAGGCAGGTTCCAGAGGCCATTTCCAGAATGAACGAGGAATGTGAGTGAGGAAGGGAATGGAGATCAAGCTTGGGTATGGTGTAGGGGCAGGTTAGAAAGGGCCTTGAATATTGTTTTAGGGAGCTTGGCCGATATCCTGAAGTGATGGGAATTCCCTGAAGAGTTTTGAGAAGGAAGCAACTTAAGCAGA